AACTCCTACCAACCTCCTACCCCCACCCCCACCAGGACTCTGGGCCAAGCTGGGAGCCTGGCTGACGAGAACTAGAACAGGGCTTGCAGGTCACAGCTGCTGGAAATTGGTTTGTGTGGCTTCTCAAACAGGCCAGCCAGCTTCTGCCCTAGATAAGGTAGCAGGTAGCCTACTTGGGCCGGCCCTGGAGCCCCCCCACCCCCACCCCGGCTCCCCTCCCAGGCTCCGGGCAAGGGGCAGACCAGAAGGCTCCTGGAAGTCGGCTAGGTCCAAATTATAATCAGCCCACTCTCTAGGGTCTTCAAAGCCCCCCACATTCTGAGCCCCTTATGCAGGACAAGTCACTTGGTCCCCACAACCACCCTGTAAGGTAGGGGTGAGGATACCACATGTCACAGGTGAGAAACGGGGGCACAGAGGCAGGAAGGTGAGTGGTCCAAGACATCAGTTAACAGGGGCAGGGCTGAATCCCACCCAGGGAGTCCAGGGGCACAGCCTCAGGAGCTGCCATTCGGCCCTGGTGTTGGCTTGACGCTCAGGGCTCAGCTTCTTCAGTTGTGAGATGGGACTGCTCACTGGGCCACCCGTGGGCGATCAGGCAGACCAAATGCAAGCCTTCGGACACTGTTTAGAAAGCAAACAGCCAAGCGGAGCATAGTTGGAAGGATTCGCATTTAGACTCCAGTCCCTGGGATTCTGTGGCTCGGTCTTCTCATCTGTTAACTTGTTGTTCGTTACTGTCGAGTCGGTCCCAACTCATTGTGACCTAATAGAACGAAGCGTCGCCCAGTCCTGTGCCAGCCTCACAATTGTTCTTATTTCTGAGCCCTTTGTTTCAGCCACCGTGTCCACCTATCTCACGGAAACCTCCTGCTTTTTTGCTGCCCCTTCATTTTACCGAGCATGATGTCCTTTCTCCAGGGACGGGTGTCTCCTGACAGCATGTCCAACATATGCAAGAAGACTCACCGTTCTTGCTTCTAAGGAACACTCTGCTTGTATTTCTTCCAAGACAGATCTGCTGGTTCTTTGGCAATCCAGGAGACTTTCAATAGCCTTTGTCAAACACCATAATTCAAATGCATCGGTTTTTCTTCAGTCTTCCTTATTCAGTGTCCACTGTCACATGCATATGAGGCCACTAAAAATACCGTGACTTGGGTCAGGTGTACCTTTGTCCTCAAAGTAACATCTGTGCTTTACAATACTCCAAAGAGGTATTGTGCAGCAGATTTACCCAATGCAATGCATGCATAGTTTGATCTCTTGACTACTGCTTCCATGAGCATTGATAGTGGCTCCGGGCAAGACAAAATCCTTGACAAGCTCAATCTTTTCTCCGTGGCTCATGATGTTACCTATGGGCCCAGTTGTGAGGATTTTGGTTTTCTTGACATTGAGTTGTCATCCATACTGCAGGCTGCAATCCTTGCTCTTCATCAGCAAGGGCTTCAAGTCCTCCTCACTTTCAGCAAGCAAGGTTGTGTCATCTGTTACTACAGGTTGTTAGCAAGCCCTCTGTGAACTGGAGATGATCAATTCCTGCTTCCCATGGAGATGGTAGTGAAACTTCCATGTGGCTCAGAGCTTAGCAGTAAATTCAAGCCAAATTCATTGCCATCCGTTGTTTTGGACCCATAGCAACTTAGACAATACCTGAAATGTAGTCACCAGTCTCGGCTGTGATGCCAAAAACCTATCACCACCCCAAATACAGTGCAGAGCAGAGCTCAGTGTTGCTTCTGAGCTCAGTGTTGCATCTTACATCTTATCCTCTCCATTTACTCAAACACAAAAAACAAAATCCCACTGCTGTACAGTTGCTTCTGACTCTGCGATGTTATTGGACAGAGGAGAATTGTCCTTTCTGTTAGCAGCAGAGCACTTAGCCACTGTCCCACCCAGCCTTCTATTATCTGTAAGATGGGAACATACAAATACCTCTCTCGCTCACCCACAGCCATTGAGTGGATACTGACTTATAGAAATCCTACAGGACAGGGTAGAACTGTCTCTGTGGGTTCCTGAGACAGTAACTCTTTTACAGGAGTGGAAAGCCTCATCCTTCTCCTGAGGAGTGGCTGGTGGCTTCAGACTGCTGACCTTGAAGTTAGCAGTCCAAAGCATAACCACTACACCATCAGGGCTCCATGACGAATACCTCCAACCAAGTAGGTATTTGTAGGGTTGTTAAGAGGGTTAGGGAAAATACCTTATGTAGCACATCCTCAATGCTACATAAATGTTAGCGAACATTATTATTTATTAACCGCGTCCTCCTAGGGTTTCCAACATTAAATGGAACAATGCAGATAATGCACTTAGCACAGTCTTAACTCAAGTAGGTGCTCAGTTAAGTAAATAACAGGTTTTTCCCATCTCCAAGGCCCTGATAAAGGGACTACAGGTACCAGCATGCCTTACCCTTCTAGTAGCTGTTCCTCCGCCCGGTGCTGGCGTACTGCATGCCGGGAGTTGAAGTCCTCTCGGGCGAGGCCCCGCCTCGCCCCTGCTGGGGGAGGTGGTTGGAGAGCCGCCCTGCCGGCCTTTGAATTTTGCCGCGAAAAGCGCGCGTGGTCGCCCCCCAGTCCCGCCCCCTACAAGACGCCGAGCCGCGTCACCCTGGTAACCGCCTCTCGGCCGTCGCTGATTGGGCCAGGCTGCGGGGGGCGGGCAGGGGATGAGACGCGCCGGCGGCGGCCAGTGCCTGTCAATCGGGCCGGAGCGGAGGAGCGGAGCAGCGGAGCCGCGGACAGGACAGCTGGGCCGGTGGCTCCGCGGAGGGGCTGCGCACGCTGGCCGGGGTCGGCGGAGAGCTGAGTCCGCCGCCTGCGGGACGCGGCGCCCGGGCCTAGGACTAGGCGCCGGCGCACGCCCGGCGGTGCGAGGCGGCGGCCCCC